ACATGAGCGCTTTAAGGTTTTTTTTTGTTTAGTTTTTTTGTCAGTGCATCACACACTAAATATATTTCACACAGAAGTTTCACACGCAATTCTGACTGTCACCAAGAGATGGAGACATTCACTCTTCTGATCTGAGCAACATCTCATCGCTGCTTCAGGCACATCTCCTCACATCACTGCTGAGGATTAATCTGTCATCTGCAGTTCCTGTAAAAACAAACACACTGTTATGTGTTGTGTTGTAACATTTTGTCCGTGTAAACGCATGGAAACAAAGTTGATGCAGTCAACTAAAGTGAAAAGTGGAACGTTTTTTCAAAATAAACCAAATTTAAACAACACAAACCGCAAAGTTTCTGCTCTTTCATAATGATAACACACAAATTCATCACATGCCGACTATTCATGAGGAGTGATGTGACCTGATAATCTCGAGACATACAGACCCAATGTATGCATGCAATATTAAACAGGCAGATCTGGTTGTGTGTGAGAAGTGTGAAGTGTCCCTCTTCTCCTGTAGATCCTCCTTCCTCCTTTCACACACATTTACTGGCTTATTTTCTCGTCACACACACCAGAACTTCCATCATGAAAGAAATAGGCTACTGCATGATCATTCTGAGCGACGCATCACATGCATTTACAAAGTAGCTTAAACTTCACTTTTTGAAATGAGAAAATGTAAGGCCAGCTTAGAAAATTTCATTTACTTCAGTCAGGGCTTGAAAACACGGTTTTAATTCGTAAAACAAGTGAGGCCATTATTGCATGTGGTCAAACTAGCATTAGCTGACAGATTTAGAAGACTCAACCTTAAAAGTTTTGAGCCAAGAGACCAAGTAAACTTGACTTATACTGAGAAAAGTCTTGTATATTTGTCCTGTAATCTTTTGATCGAGATATAGGCTACTTAGAAGTATAATTAAGTATACATGGCTCGTAGTTGTGTTTACTCTTTTGATTGGGTACACTCTAAACGACGCTGGGTTGTTTTAACCCAAATTTGGGTCAAATATGGACAAACCCAAATGTTGGGTTAAAAATGTAATTTAAAATTTTAACCCAACTTCAACTTTCACTTTCAACTGTACATTTTTTTAATTGCATTTTTAACCCAACATTTGGGTTTGTCCATTTTTGACCCAAATTTGGGTTGAAACAACCCAGCATTTTTTAGAGTGTAGCATTTTAAATACGTTTTCACAAGAAACAAGTGATAGAACAATGCTTACGCAAATGTAAAATTGTAAATCATCAAACATTAAACACCTAAATAGGAAAATAGTCGCTATATACTTAAAGTGCAAAAATAATACATAAAGTAGCTATTATCAAGTGTGACGCTATGTTCACTTAAATAAAACTTACAAGTATACTTGCAGTATAAAACTACTAAACTAGTTTACTGAGTATACATAAACTAAAAAATGTGTTACAAGTATTTGACTAGTAAACTATAGGCTATACAAACGCTTTGCTGTACAAACAAAAAACTTAGTTGTAAAGTAGTTGTGTACTCAACGTTTAAAGTAGGTTATAAAAGTATAAAAAGTGGGCCAATTCAGTCCCAAGTCATATTGAAACAGTACATTTACACTTCTAGTACACTGATATTATTATACTTACTACGTAAAGTCTACTTAAACAATACTTTAACTTTATTTAAGGTATGTTCATTTCATTTTTTTAGCAATGCATTACAATAGTTTCCTTGATTAACAGGTTGAAAAATCAACAACAGTTTAACTTTGTAAAGCAGTTATTTATCTATTTTATTTATTTACCTTTATTTTACCAGGATTTCCCACATGGGATTATCTACAGTAGTCAACATTTGAAGTGGATCAAAAAAGTTAATCAAAGTTGTCCTATAAAGACAAGACCGGGTATTGTTCAAAATTCATAACATTGATGAAAGGTTTTGATCCACTTCAAATGTTGACTATATTACAATGAGAATGAATCACAAACGTCTCAATGGCTGATAAATACATAAATGTCAATATATTAAGTCAGTAGGCTACACTCAAATAAAGGTTAATGACATTCGTGGTAAAGAACATTTAACATCCATGGAACCTGAAAAAAGGTTAATTATTCACTGAAATATTACAATAATTTTTTGCATCAATAATGGTGTTTATTAATAAACAGATTACTGGACTAATGTTTGCGCCCACAGTCACCGAATCCAGCAACATGAAGGGAGCAACACAACAAACGACTGTTAGCCGAGAATCATCCTCCAGGAAACCTGTTCTTTCACTTCTCCTCCAACCAGCCGTGTCTCTGAAGACGCTGAACCTGCAGATGTACTAGCATGTGCTTATTGAAGAACGGCTTTAAACTTGACATGCAAATGGCCGTTTTATAGATATGCTGCAAATTGCTCCAAATCGGAGTGCAACAGTGCAAAAAGCATGAGAGCTCAATGTTGTTTACTGCTGTTTCGCGTCCATAAAGAGCATCATAAAGCAGTGGCCGTCCCTCGTCCAGCACAGGCCTGATTATGAGGGGTTCATCTTTAAACCGAGCCCGTTCTGTGCCGGGATGGCTCTGAGTTGCTGTCCTCAGACTGCACTGCTGAGGTATTCTTTCAGGCTCGTTCACCGAGGATAAAGGAAACCTTTTGTTGCTGTGAAAGGTTGTTCCCTAGCAACAGGGTTGCATTTGGAAGCCTAGGTAACGGTCAATAAATAACATCATTCTCAAGTTTCGGCTAGTTTGGAGATGGAGGTCTCGCTGCATCTTGTCTTACTTTGTGTGCTGTGTAGATTTGTAGGCCTTTCAGTACAACCTGTCGTCCAGTGTAGGTGTAGTTTACATGATAATGAAAGAAATGGACCATAGCTTTAATCGCTTATTAACATATTTGAGCAGTGAAACTGAAGTATTGTTCTTTTTGGAGGCGTTCCGCAATGATGCATTGCATGAACAGTGACACAACCAATGATAAACTTCTCAGACGAGTTATTCATTGACCCATGAACCGAGCAGCAAAACTCTGGACACATTCAGAACTGTTCTGCTGGAGGGCAAATGCTAAATATATTCTTGTTTAATATGTGCAGTTAAGCTGACACAAAATGTCGTCGCGTACTAATCGATCAGAATTACAGAATGATAGTCGGTTGATTATAATATCCAGTATGAGAGGGGAAAGAGATGCCTGGGTGTAACCGGGGCAGGTTTGGCCAGTCGAATCAGCCTTTAAAGCGGTTTCGGACACTTCTTTTAGCTGACCAGCAGGGAGACAAGCTAAAAAGACCAGTTAAAACCAGTTCAACACCAGCTTGGCCCAGCTAAGACCAGCCTAGACTGGTTTAAGCGTGTGTTTTTTTTCAGCTGGATGGAGTTGATACTGTATATCTTTAATATCCTGCTATCAGCGTCAGGAGGAATCTGCAGCTTTAACCACTTTAACAGACAAAACCTTATGATTGATAAAACCATCATGTACTGTATAGGGCATTTCTTGAGCCATTTTAAGTTTTATTTCTCATTACAGACTGTTACATGCCAGACTAAATTATGGCTAACTTATTACTAACTTATTCTTTAAAGTGATTCCTTCTTTGTCATTTAATATGTGTATTTTTTGTTTACGTTGTTTTCCATTATGTTATTTGTGGTGCCAATAAAACACTATAAAATATCAATATAGACTATAGTGCAACTAATAATAATAATAATGTGTATTCTTTATATTTGATTAATTTACAAGTATTTGTTTTATTATTGATGTTGAATTAATGAGTCTTCCAAACCAGATTTACACACACAGTATACATAGGCTATATATATATATATATATATATATATTGATGTCATTAATATTTTTGTGAGTTCATGGGAAAATGTAAATACAGATAATACTATACTACTTTATTTTTTAAATGTTTGTTTTACCTTTATTTGCAAATGAGTCTGTTATGACAACATATGTTTTACATTGCTTTAACTCATCAAAATAAGTTAAGCAATTAAAAAATGTTTTATTAAATTTTAAAAAATAATTTATAAGTTATAGGCTACAAGATCCAACTCATCTTTTAAGTCAGTTTCATGTATAAGTTAAAATGACTTAAACATCTAAGTTGATTGTACTTTGAAACAACTTTAACTCAGAAACTGCTAAATTTGACAAATAATTACAAAGAAATGGCAAGTCACACAATTAATAAAATTAGCAATTTTAAGTAAAAAGACTGAAATATTGTAAATCTTTACCATTGCAGTGTTCTGACATGATATAAATGTTGATACAGATACAATGCACTTATAATTTGTATTGTTTATATTTAATTTATTTGCAATCTTTTAATTTTTGATGGTTATTCAATTTATTATTTTTGTAATCATGTTAATAGAGATACTTTGCAAAGATTTACAACTACTTTGCCTAAATATATTAGAGATGCACTACTGTACAGGATTTTAATGGACAACTCAAAACACTTCTGTTTTCGATAGCTTTTAATCAGTCACTATGTGTGGCCTATGTGATGCTCTTTTCTCTTTTTGTGTTCTGTGTGACATTGTAAAGCACATTGGTCAACTTGTGTTGTTTTAATTGTGCCATATAAATAAAGTTGCTATTGCTATGCTAGCTACTAATATCATAATTTAATATAATATATATTATTTTATTTTATCTTTATGTCTAACATAATTTTGCACCTTTCTATTGCAATTTTATTTTTTGGAAATAAACTTTCATGTGTCTTCCAACACCCACATTTAGTTTAAAGTGTGCTTTTATGATAGTTTTGAAAGTAGTTGTGAAAAGAACAGGGTGACTTTAGTGTGTGTGTGTGTGTGTGTGTGTGATGCTTGTGTGTGTCGGCAGCTTCAGTAACGCGCGTCCCCTTGGAGACTAGAGCAGGAGCAACACGTGACACTCCGCCTTACTGATCAGCTTTAGAGGAGAGAGAGAGAGAAAGAGAGAGAGAGAGAGAGAGAGAGAGAGAGAGAGAGAGAGAGAGAGAGAGAGAGAGAGAGAGAGAGAGAGGCGCAGTAATAAGCGTTTTCCTCTCTCCTCCCTAAAGCATCTCGGCGTGGGGGGGATTTGGGAGAGTGAGTGGGGAACTCAAACGCAAAGTTGACGAACTTTGCACATCTTTTACGAACGCCATTTTGATTCCTCTCCGGAACAACTTTTGCAGCTTCTTTTTTTTCTTCTTCTCTCTCTCCTCAGCTCATCACCACCATCATCATCATCATCATCATCATGTCTCGGCGAAAGCAACCCAACCCCAACAAAGTCAAACGTAAGTTACTCGGCTCTCCTCAAAACTCTGCTGTATTGCTGTTGTGTGTTCATTTGGTGTGTTTTAGCTTGGAGTCAGAGACAGGATTAAAGTTAATGTGGAGTTAGAGGACACTTTTTTCCCCAACTTCAGCTTCCTCGTTGCGCGAGACCTGATGCTCACGCGCACAGCCCAAACCTGCCCCAAACAACTCCGTTTCTCTAAGACATCGGCGTGTTTCGGTGCACGCAACTTTCTGTTGGTCTTTAACAACTTTTGAACGCTGTATGGAAGTTGTTGCATGCGGTGATGGGGTTGAAAGTCTGTTGCTGTTAGCTAGCGTTAAGCTAACGCGCTGCTGTCGCGCGGAGCATCACATCTCGCGTGCACTTTGATCGCTTCGGCTCGAGCTGCTTCTGCCATGATAGTTGTCGACCATCGAAAATGTCATTTTTAACGCATATCACTTGTGTTTGTTTGTTTGTTTGTTTGTTCTACTTCGACAACAACCTGTTGCGTCACCAAGTTTGTTCATCTGTTCAAGGATGGCCTGTATTTGATCACGAAACCGTTCAGGTAGTTGCAGTTTGAGCAACGTAAAAAAAAAAAAAAAAAAGTCGGTTCGTTTTACCGTCGAAAGCGTGTCGTTTGTCACATTATTAGGTTTGGTTAAGATGTGCATCATCAAAGTAACCACGTTAGGTGTTTAAATGTTGTTTTAAAGTGTTTCTGCAAGTTTTATTGAAAGTTTGTGGTGAACTGAAGGAATGGATGAGCCCGCTCGGTCTCTCGGGAGACGGGCAGCAGAGCTCGCGCTGGTTAGATAATGGTTGCTAGGCATTTGTGTTCCGTCTCTTTCCTGCCCCTCCTCGGTGAGGCAGAAACTTCAGGAGAGCCGGAGGTAAACGTGGCAAATTCACTCGCCACTTTTTGTGCATCCTTCTCCTTATATGCTTATTTTTTTGCATGCTTTTTGCAGAGTTATGCATTAAAAAAGTAACCTAGTTATTAGTATTTAAAGTGGATAGTTCACCCAGAAATAAAAATTGTCATCATTTGCTCACCCTCAAGTTGTTCCAAACCTGTATGCATTTCATTGTTCTGCTAAACTTAAAGGAAGATATTTTGAAGAATGTTTGACTTCCATAGTATGGAAAATAAAGGATGACAGAATTTTCATTTTGGGGTGTACTATCCCTTTAAGCAATGGGCACGAGGCCTCTGGTAACCATAGTTATGATAAAATACACTACATCAGCAACATTTGTGAGTTCTATTTTGCTCATCAATATGAAGTGATGGGTAAAATTGGCTAGTTATTTGTTGTACATCAATGAACATGTGGAGTTCTGAGCACATGAATGATCTAGCGAAGTCATATTTACAAGTGGGAAACTGCTGATTTGTGAGGTTGAAAGGGGCTGATCGATTCGATACACACACCACACACACACACACACACATATATATATATATATATAAAATATGATTTGTAATTTAGTTACTATCAGTGAGCTGTAGCAAAAAATGTCTGTCACTCAACTTTCTTAGTTTGCTTCACATTTAGTTGCACTTAGATACCATAAATAAACAAGAAATATAAAATAATATTTTCCATTATTTTGAACTTATATAATTGAATAATGACCAATAAACCGTACACTGTAAAAAAAAAGTTGCTGCCTTGCATTTTTAAGTTCAATCAACTTAGATGTTTAAGTCATTTCAACTTAAATTACATTAAACTAACTTAAAAAAATATTGAATCGCTTAAAATTGCTTAAACTTATTTTGATGAGTTAAAGCAATGTAAAAACATTTCATAACTTCATATAATTTTTTTACAGTGTAACAAACACACGACTTTTGAATGTCATCAAGTAACACAAAAACAGAAAAGACGATCTGGAACAGGCGTAAGCGAGTGACACGGAGCAACAGAGATTTCTCTAATCACTTGGCTCCAGCTCCACTCCAGGTTTTCCATTCTGCACTCCCCGCACACAGGAGAAGCTGCTCCGACTTTCAAAACACCCGTTCCCTGCTCCGCTTCCACTTATACTCACGCCACTTATATTCCCTGGTCTGGGGTGGATTGGTACTACAAATGATCAAAAGTCCAATTACTGCTCAACCAATCACAACTAGTTTTGGGGGTCGTGGCAAAGAAAGATGTTTCCCTTTGCCACTCTGGCCTTCTTTTAAAGGAAGGGAGGAGAGGACAGATCCGGATGAGAGGTTCACATTCCATTACGAAATTCAACACTGTAGACGAGCAGAGCGTCGAGAGCTGCAGCAATGCACTATCACTTCACAGACATCATGTCTTCTCTCCATCTCTAAATATAAGATCTTATGCAACCCTTTAAAATAAAAGCCCCATCTGATGTATTTAGCTGGACCATAAAGATGACAGAAAGCACATTTTCTGTGCTTTTTCCTCAAGTTAATGATGTCAAAGTTTGTCAGAGAACAGGCATGTCGTGAGCAGGGCCATACGGAGGCCTTGCAGCCAGTATTAAAGGATCAGCTCGATGATGTTGTGGCTAAAGGAGGAGGATGTTTCCATGTAGTTTTGTTTGTTTCCTCTTTGGCTAAGGCTAATAGGAAAGTTTGCACTCATATTTGTTCTGTTTTTATTTTTGAGATTTCTGAAGTATGCAGTTTCTCTTTTTTTTTTGTTCTCTGGGCAATGCTAATGGAGTTTGTGAAGTGTTTTCTTACTGTTTTCACATGCAAGATCTAGTGAATGAGATCCCAGAGGAAACGGAGAACTATATGGGAAGTTTTCAGATTCCATTTTAGTTCCCAGTGAATAGAGTCCCATGCATAACATCCCAGTGTGACTTTTTCCTTTCATCCTTTACTTAATTGTTTCATTGTTTATGCGTTCTCAAACACCTGAAAATCTGGCGTCCAGTCCCTCTTGGGATTTCTCTAGGGATAATTAAAAGTATATCACCCTCCCTCGGGTCTCAGTGAGTGTCCTGGGTATTGACATTATCTAAATTCATTACAGTAATTCCCAAGATACCTACACAGCAGGCCTCGGTTGTGGCTGCCAAACGATAAACACTTTACAGCAGTGCTTTGCATCAATGACTTTCTCAGATTTACATTTCATTTTATTTGATTCAATCTCAGATAGTCAGACCATTGTACCTGGAATGCTTTGTAAAATAATTGATCTCAGATGCAATTAGCGTTTTAAACATCACATCTTGTTATACCTAGCTAGTAATGTTAGGCATAATTCTTACACATCCATTCGTTCAAGATGTTTTGATGTGCATCTTAGTGGTTTTATCGGTTGCTAATACTATTGAAGTCTAAATGAGACCTTACACATGTGCGTTAAGGGACCTGTGTATTGGTGGTCCTGTTATCCTGATGGAGAGGGACCTGCTTTTGGCCTTAGGGCAGAATTGGTTGCCCCTTTGGCTCCCAGGCTATATTTATTCTTGCCTTTTTTAGATCAGATTATGTTCCATCCCTCTGTGTAGCGGAGGGACACAGCAGGAGAACCACTTGGCTGGAGTGAGAGATGGAGGAATTGAGCCCTAAGGTGTATTTGTAGTTTCCCCCCCACAAATTGGGTGTTTATCCATAAATATTAGGATGCTGTTGTATAAGTATACACGCTTAACATCACAGATATTCAATTAGAAAAACACAATCTAGAATGGCGGGAGTTGCAGAGTTGTGTATCTGATTGTTTCAAGGGTTTGTTGATGGTATTAGATCACATTATATTAAAACGAGTGGCTTATTTTAGAGCGACACCGGCATGCTTCTGTCGGGACGCCCCTAGAATAGTGTTGGGTGCTGACATTTTAGCCCTGGCTATATTTGTGGTTGTCCAGGACTGCATTTTCCAAAAGCATCGTAAGCCTAAGTTGATCGTTGAACAATTGCCACCAGTGGTCTCTACGATCGACTTCGGTTTACGATGCTTTTGGGTAATGCAGCCCTGATTGAGTCATAAAATGCATATATTTCATGAATGCTGCTCTGCCTCCTCAACGTGGCTCATTATCCTCAGATGTGTCAAATATGGGATTGAAAGCTTAACCTCAAATGCAACCAGTCTTCTCTGTGATTGCAGGAGATAGCTGTCATGGCCCACACAGGCAGCACTTATCTTTGGCTGTGAAAACATGAAAAACATGTTTGGTTCAGTAACCGTGAAGCTGCTAAAAAACTAGCAGCTGCAATAGATAGCCTATAGTTCAAAACAACAATTCAGATTGATTAAATTTGAGCAACTATTCCATTTAAATTGTAAAAAAAAAATTCAAAATGACTTGGACTACTTTTGTGAAGACAAGCATGTCTATTATTCTTTTCTTCCCTATTGTGACGTACAGGGAACTTGATTTTGTCCGTGGGGTATTGGTTGGATGGTTGTGGTTTGCTATTGGCTGATCTCATGTGAGTGACAGGTTGCCCCGCCCTCGTCATCAGAGAAGAGATGCTGAAGGAGGGAGGGAGAATTATTTTGCTAAAAGATTACGAGGCACAAGAATTAAAAAAACAGATGTGAACGCCACGGATAAATCATTTATTATAAATACTGCAAAATTCCGTGAAAGAACAAGAATTGCCCATTTTGATTCCATGATGACTTTAAAACCCCAACCATAAGTGTCAAAACATGTGGCTAGAGGAGAGGTGTTCTGTTACACCTTTACAGATGATTGTTCTCTGACTGAAAAATCCCAGACTGGAATTGTCTAGAAACTTGAGCCAGAAAGAAACCAATCGAAACTCTAGCAACTGCGAAATAAAAAACACTTCGAACACTTTAGCAACCGTGTAGCAATGCCATGGCAACCACCCACAACATCCTACCATTGGGGGCCACGGATATGCACCGCCAGATCACCCTAGCAACTGCATAGCAACGATCTAAAATCCACTCACAACATCTTTAGCAACCACAAAGGAACTTGTTAAAAAACACTCAATACAGTATCAACCACATAGCAATCAGAACCCATTAGAATAAAAAGACAGAACAC